TCAATTGTGTATGCTACTGTAAATACATGAAATATTTTAAACGCTACCTTTTTAACATGTGAGACTAAAAGGAAAACTTTTACAAATTTATGTCTCAGTTAGCTAACAGATTATGAATTGCTAAAACAGAGAATGGAGAATTAGTGCACATTATAGGAAACTAATTTTTTCTAGACGATTGGGTGTTGCATACCAATGAATGTTCTACTAAGGAATGTTCCATAATTTTAGCGAATTTCCCATATATGGAATAACCTTTTTTTAACACCGCAGTATAGTGACAAATCCATTAAACTATTGACTAACGCTAAACATATTATATCATATTTATCTAAATAAGAAGGATACAATACCTGCAGACTGCCTATAGTGGTCCTTGAATATCCAACAGGATTACGCGTTTCGGTATATTGTTATACCATCATTGGATCCTATATACAAAACTTGAAGTTTTTGGACTCATGATGTCACACCACAGTTTTTAAAACTCAGTTACAAAACATTTAATCACGAAAAAACTATTAGTTTGCATGAAATTGCCTAGAAAAACAACTAGAGATATTATATTTGATTGCCTTCAAGTTGAAATATATATTTATTTGTTTATGCAATAGACATAAAATGTGTCATTTCATTGGATGCAGTCAAAGTACAGTCAAAGTACATCAAATTAAGTTTTTCACCAAGCATATACATTTATATCATAATTTACTTTGGGAATTCTGAAAAATAGTATTTCGTATAAACAAGAAATATGTACGTAGCCTTAAGTTAAAAATATACTCAATAGCTTTGATCGATCAATTATGTATTCAAACTATTGAAACATCTAAAGCATGCATAGCACCTATAAAATTGTTTATATACTTTAAAAAGGTGTTGGTATAACAAAATGAAAACGTAAGTTTAGGCTAAGGGTTAAAAGTTTTGCTTACACTTATTTACTTATCTACCGAACATGGGAAATATGTATTTTCCTCTTTAAGAAATCGCAGAGGATAGATATTTTCCGTCAACATGTTTATAACAGAGTCAACCGCTCAACCAGGTCGTTAAAACCGTGTCAACACTGGCATATGTCAGTTGAGTGGGTGGGTAATGCGGCTTAGAAATGATACCACCGTTGCAGTGAGTACTTTCAGGTTAGGAAATGTGGAAAACGTCAGTTATATAATATGAAGAGTCAATTTGCTACTTTATCATGAGTGTATTGTTGATTCTTCTGTCATATTGTGAGCAAGGAATTAGGATAAATAGTTTTCTTTGTCCACTATTTATTAGAGCAATTTAATATAACTTCATTCCATTCATACTGCAATAAAGTGATATTTAGTGACACTACTTATTCACGTTTACCACATTTTCTATGGGTTAAGCACATTTGCTTGTACATATACTGTACTTCGTGATGTTCCAGTGAGCTGAAACTCTACTGAACTGAGGCTGTTTTAGGACTTTGTCCTCTTCAGCCAGGGAATATATACTGTATCTTCCTTTTACATATACCAGAAGACAATTTAAGGTATGATAATAATCTGTATGTATAAAGGGAGTTTTGATGATTGCTATGTACCTATATACTTATTATTTTATATCTTAAAAATATTTTCATAAAGTAACTACTCTAATAATAAGGTGTCGTACATTCGTAACATATTACATGGGCAATTAAACATTCTTAAATTTACGTTAAAATAAGAGGAAAAATCTTAGTTTTAATTCAAATTTACTCAACAATTTTGTCACATGAAATAGTATATTACGTTACTAGTCCTGAAAAAGAGTGTTTACCGGACGAGTGTGGTCGTTCCCGTGCGAGACGAAGTCGAGTACGGGATTACCATACGAGTCCGGTACACACATTTTGGACGAGTTACGTACGATAGTTTACGCCATACTACTAAATCCGTACAAATCCTTATATATTTCCACCAACTAAAGGACTAAAAATCACTAGTCATAACCTCTAAGAGAGGTTATGTTTTCGTTTATAACCACTCATTGCCACATAAATACAGTATAATCAGCTGATTGGTGTCCGGTAAAACTCATTGCAGCACAGTAGTACGCAATGAAACCCCATTTGAATAAGCTGGCGGCAAACAGCTGTTTTCTGGACTAAATCCTTGCGTGGTAAGTTCGTCAAAATAATGTAGTTTGGCGTAAAATACATATTTGAATATGTATGTTTGTAGTATCCTATGAATTATCTTACTTACGATCCCAGTATACGTAAGATACAAGCATTATTCAAAGATACTATTGATGTAAATTGTTTGCTAAGTTGGATGAAACTTATCTTAAAGACATATGTACAATAGTTGTGCAGAAAGTTGGCCATTTGAAAATGATGGAAAGTAAAAAATTGTTATACAAAGTAAGAAATTAGGGATTTGGAGTAGGTGGTTGATTGGTAGTTGCTAAAATTGAACTTACAATTTTCCCTTAACTCACTTTAATTTAGTAAAACATTTTATATCAATTATGGTGCTGATGGAAACAAAATACCTACGTTGAAACAGAAAAAGATTAATTTTTTTAATTTGCAAAAACTCTATTGAAAATGTGGGCAATATTAGTTCGCTGGCCACACCAGGCTTGTGCTAAGCTAATTTATCAACGGCCAACAGCAGCTGTCGATCCGTTGTCATTCATTGATGAATTGTTTCACGACAAATTGATCGTTTCCAATAATTCAACAAGTAAGCGTTGCTTTATTCAAACTTGGGTTTCAGCACAGTTGGCAACTCATCAATCAGCTTTTGACTTCTTTGTTCTGCAGAAATTGGAACTTTTGTTTAGACTAAACAGCCAATTTTCATGTTCATAAATTATACATATGTTATTAATGTCTTGCATTTACAAAATGAACAATGGCTTTAGAAGTATTTCACAAAATATCAGTCTTTGCATCCCTACTGTTATTGTTTCCCTTAAAGTTGAGTCGTGTCCGCCATGCGTGTTAAGGCCGACCGCGCATTATTATGTTAAACCAATGTATCCCTGTTTTTCGTGTATCTTAAATGATAAATTTGTTTATATTGACGACGAAATTGTGTTCAAATGATTGTGAGACGACATGAGCTTGAAAATGAAACAACTGTTTCGAAACTAAGACTACATTAGGATTGATGACGAAATGTACGTAAACCTATTATATTGTCATAAATCAACCTTGGAGGCAACGCAGAGTAAATTAGTTTTATGCTCAAAGCTTTTACTACGCAAATAACACTGCAACTTTACACCCTTGCCACCTATGGTGTGATCGTTAACAAATATTTTGTACTAGATAAGAAGAGGACATGTTAGGTTGATAAGCTAAGCTGACTCTGAAAGCTCTATCCATCAATCGCAACGGAAACATGTCGTTGTCATCTACAGATACATTTAGTGCATAGGGGGTTTTCGTCTCAAGAAGATCTAAAAAGCACTGTAGTCATTGTGCTAAGGAATTAAGAACTTAGTTGCTAAAACGAATGATAATAGCCAAACAACAATTACGGCTTGTTGACAGATTTGTTTTTAAACAGATAATAGACAAATTTACATTACACTAGGTCATAGTATTACTTTATACTGTAAATGCCCAACTTATTCTTTTAATAGATTTATCTGACAGGATATTCGTGTTGTAAGTATTTTCTACACCAAGTTGAAACTCTCAGCAAGTACGTTGCGTGGTTGTCAGTCAAAGCCCACTTAACCGCACGTCACTCAAACGAGTGTGATCTATTTACGGTTTATTCATCTTTGTATTTACCATAATTGTTAAAAAATCGTATAAATCACCGTATAATTATGGGTTTTAAGTAATATAATGAAATCTAATGTGTGCACAATAAATAATAGTATTAAAGTGAAACATATTATTCACCACACTATGATGTTTTTAGTTGTTTTACAAACGTTAATTAGGGTTGAAAGTTTTGCTGCCTATGCCAGCTGTCATCGTCATTTGGAGACCGAGCAGGTTTTTACATCCCTAGACCGCATCAGCTACCCGCTTACTCTCTTAAAACATTACTGCAAATTAAATACACTATCAGTATCCATAGCATTGCAAAAGAATGGTTTTAGTCACCGCTGCCTAGCAACTATTTATTATTTATTTGCTGATTCCCCAAATTATTTCTTCAGATAACTAAGTTGTAGTTATGTTGACTATCTGTGTATAGTACATTATAATTGTGGAGAATAGTTGTAATGAGGTATAGTGTGGTGAAAAATAGCGTTCGTACCACGCACAGGAATGGTTTCGGCCATAGGTACGAAATATAATATTCCCCACACTATGATGTTTTAGCTGTTTTACAAACGATAATTGGAGGCTGAAAGCTACGTACTGCAGTCCAGGAACGAAATGCCAGCTGTCGTCGTCATTTGGGGGTTGAGCAGGTTATAATATAGGCCTACCTAGGGCCGAAAATCAGCAGTTCGTTTATTTATTGTATTATAAATATACAAGCTGATTTTCGGCGCGCAATAAATCATTACAATAGACGTTTTATTGCGTCGCCTTGCAACGATTTATTATTATTTCTGCTGATTCCTTGAAATATTTCTTCACATAACCTTAAAGTTCTAGTTCAAGTAGTACTTAGTGTGCTTTGATTGTATTATATTTTCTCAACTTTGTATAGCGTGGTAAAAAAATTGTGTTCGTACCACAGGACCGAACGGATTTTGCGGCTCTCGATCGTTTTAAGTTCTCGACTTCGGCCTTCGGTACGAAATACTATTTATGCAAAAAAAGTCATTCAGTAAAGTAAGAAAGTTAGAGCTTGGATTTAAAAAGTCAATTTCCAACATTAACAGAGGTGATCAACAATGGTGTCTGGAAGGCTTTTAATTAGCTAAATGCACCATCACCTGAAGACCCAAGACATCTATCAGGATTGACATGACGTCTTCAGCACCAGAATCTATTGTTGATTACAGCACAACACAATTACTTAGGCTTCCTTCATGATAAGCAATACTATACAGATTAGACCTACCTTGCCATCTGGGCTGCATACTTTGATTCCAGTCAGGGATATCACGAGTAGAACAGGTTTTGATTTGGAACAGCCCTGAAAACAAAAAAAAGTTTAATAGTTTCATGGCAAACCACATAAAATCGTTGTATTTCTCTGGGTATGTCATGTATTGAATACATAACTACCATAAAACTCACAGCTAACAATCTTTCGGGTAATTTTAAATATATTTAATTAGTTTTAGCTTAATTTAATTTAGTTTGAAGGTCATAAACTATCTGTCATAACTAACTGTCTGATGGTATTAATGTTAAGTCTAGCAGTTACGGAAAATTACAATACAGAAAATGTTGAATAGTGACCATTTAACAATATGTACTATCTTTGACTGTTCCAATAGTCAATGGAACTATGGAAAATTTGGTTTGTTCGAAAAATATATGAGGTGATAAAAAAATGAAAATATCTATAGCGTTGACGAAGGCCAAACGTAAAATACCGAAAAATGAGTTTGTTATAGGCCCTGGTAAATATTTTGTTTTCCTATTCTCGTGAAATTGAAAATAGAAAGAATAATAAAGAGTTATTCCGTTAAAACAAATAACGATTTTAAGCATTCACAATGAATAGTACAAAATAACAAAAACGAATAGAAGCCAAACAACAATATGGTTTCATTTCGTTAAAGTCTTGTTAAACTTTATTGTACCCTCATTACTTCTATGACGAAAATCTGCTCTGACCTATTTTGTTTGCATTTTAAAAATGGATTTATAACTTTAAAATTCAATTTCCTCTTGCACCGCCGTTGCCTCCAGTCTGTTTATTTTTAATCCCCGCCTCACGATACTTGTTAAAGAAGATTCATCTAACCTATAAATATTGTATTTGATTTAAGATCAACATTGAATACAGAACTTGTACTCAACTAGAAAGAGAAAAAACCCACTTCAGACAGAAATATTTTATGGATTGCTTAGTTATACCATTTTCTTTGAGAAATATGTTAAATAACCTACTTATTTTCTATTTCACCTGAAAAGTGCGATTAAGTAAAAACACTTGTAACTAGTAAGCTTAATCAATTGGTTAACATACAATGACAGTAAACAGTACTCAAATAAACTCGGCCTATTTATTATGTCGAACACGTTGCACTTTTGATTCATAATCCAATAGGTTTTTTTTACATTTAAACAGCTAACCACGTGTATATAATACCTTTGCCATATAATATCAATTTGTGAGAACACCATAACTAAATTAATGGCTTTAAAAGTTTAAATGTGGTTACAGAAAATCCCTTAAATAATAAATGAGGGAAGACGAATGTTGTACCTTTACAGTCTCTATGTGGACTAATATTTAACGAAAATAATGCTATTTTGGTGTTTACCGACGGGTTAAGAACGCATAAAACGATAAAAAGCGGTTAATTATTTTCTGCTACCATTTTTACGACCATAAAGTACATGAACGAACTGTAAAAATGTACATCAATCTTAAGTTCATTTTATTTTAGCTTTAGCAAGGCATTTTTAACCCTGCTACATAACAATAAAAGCTATTTATAATATTATCTTAAAAATTGCGACTCTTTTCTATAGTTTATACTTTTAATAGTTATAGCATACAGCATACATAAAAAAATGACAGGGCTAAACACATACTGTCCTGAATACTGTATAAACCATTTCTCCCACCATTTTCATCTTAATTATGGATTCTTAATTAAGGAGGATATTTAGTATATTTAAAAAAACGAACTGATTCAAATAAAATAAGCATCTAACCTTAGTAGCTAAAAATATCAAACAACAAAATTTATAATCATTTTAGTTTTAAATTGCCCACTATATTAAGCCACCCCAACAATGTGTTCACTCACACGTCACCGAGGTCACTATACTACCACATCGCAACACCACAGCAGCCACAATGATGACCACAACACTACAAAAGTCACCAGACAGTAACCACAATACTACGTTCCAGCATCATTGGCCATTGCATTTGTAATTGAATGCATAATGTTTTTGATGTGACTAAACAATCCAGTTTAAAACATAGTAAACCTAGTATATTTCGTACCTAGAGCCGAAAATTAGTTTTTTCCGGCTTGAGATAGTTTTTCGATCGTGAGCTGCATAACCATTTCGGTCCGTGGTACGAACGCTATTTTTCACCACACTATACCCTATTACCACTATTCACCACAATAATAATGCACACTGATAGTCAACACAACTACAAATTTAAGGTATTGTGAAGAAATAATATGAGGTATCAGCAAAAATAATAACAAATAGTTTATAGGCAACGTTGGCAATAAAACAAATTCTATTGCAATTTTATAGATACTGATTGTGTATTTAATATGCATTCATGTTTTAAGTAAGTGGACAGCTGGTTTTGGGACCTTAGGGATGTCAAAACCTACTCGGTCCCCAAAACGACTACAGCTAGCATGGCCAGCAAAACGTAACTTTCAGCCACCAATTAACGTATGTAAAACAGCTAAAACATCATAGTGTGGTGAAAAAAACTAATTAATAGTTTTAAAAATGTAAAAGTGACTTTTAACAGTTTAAAAAGTCTTGTGTTGTTGATTTTTAGCGAGTCTATCATATACAACATCTATAATACAATGTTTTACGAAAAACCAGAAGTATTGAAGACTTTTGGATTTTCGCTGTATTGAGAAGCTTAAAGATGCTGAGGTACCAAACAGGTACTTTCGGTTCATTATTCACCACTTTTGATTTGATTCAGTACCTATTTCGAGTCATAGAAATGAACAGTCAAAGCAGACAAAACTATCAAGCAATCAATACGGATCTGTCGATTAATTGTCTGGTAATATCAAGTGTTGCAATTGTTTGTAAACATTAAGATCAATGAATTAACTAGATTGTATCATGGACTGAAAACTATGGCAATAGCTACTTCCATTAGCTAAATTCTCTATACATCTTGTTCTTACTTTATTTTTTTAGAACAAAATTTACTAAATCACCTTATGGATTTTTAAAGAATGTTAATTTTTAAGAAACTGTTGAAAACATAATCGTTTCAGTAACGGTAATTAGAAATGTTTGAAGGAGCATTTCAAAGCAAACTGAATGAAAGAGAACTTTCGATGGTATTTCCAGTTTGTCAATAATTAAAACACTGCTGAGGAAGAGTTTTCAGTATTTCCTACTGTTTGACCTCCCAGGAACGTTTAATTTGTAAGTAGGAAAATTTTGCAATGTTTATTTTCTTTAGAATTTAAATGCATTTGCAGATCCTAAATTAAATCCTAATTTCTTTTAAGTACGAAATCTTAAGTAAAAACTTAAAAGTGTTTATAATAAAAAAGTATCATAACGACCGATACTAATGCTAATGCTTTTGTCCAGGTCTTTATAATCTTTTTAATGTTTTCAAGTTATATTTTTATAGTTAGCTATATTTTTACAGAGGTTAGTTTTTGTCTAATTGACCACACAAATATAATGGTTTGTTAGACACATTCATTACTCTAAAAACATTTTAATATTGGCATAAGATAATACCAACCTTAAAATTATAACTAGTTTAAATATCTTTTACCTAACCCGCCATGTTAAACTTCCCTATCCCAAGCGTGATGTATACAACTTCTTTACTTCTCGAATGATGTAAAGTTGAAAAAAAAACTCACTCGGTGAGGTAATGAAACCCATTTAAATAACATTGAGTGATTAACTTAAAAAATATACCTATATGGAGCCAACGACGTTCAACGCTAGAAATCAGCTGTGCGCTTGAATTTTATTGTTATGTTTTAAAGAATTGTCCTAACCTAGCTTTTGTTTGTAAATGAACGTTACTGTTAGAAGATGAGTGAAATGGAAAATGAATAATATTGTTCGTAACCTCCTGTATATTGTCGGGTCAGGAAAAATCTTGTACGTTACACGTTACGCAAGAGCGTGTTCACATCACTTAGGTAAATTATGCAACTCGCATCCGCTCGTTGCACAACATTCACCTGCGTGATGTAAAAACGCTCTTATACACTTGTAAGGTAAATAGCTATTAAATCTTAACTAACCTGTCAATTGCCTAACGAGTATAATGTAAGATTGAATATAATGAATTAAACAAATCTAGTTAAAACCCGCCTACCTAATTAATCAAAAATGTATAAATTAGTCACGTGAAAGATTTTTTCGATACAGTAGGTATATTGAATGTAAGTATAAAATAAATGTTACTGAAAACTACCTGTTACCCACGGGCTTCAGCCGTTGACTTCTAAGTATTAATGTTTTATTAATACTTATCACTAACTTTCACTTAGTTAATACTAAATTACTTAGTTTTTATTGATTGATTAGTTAAGCTGAAATAAGCAAAACAAAACACAGTAATACAAACAAATAATCACACCTGATTTTAATAAGGAAATAAATTGAAAGAATAACATACAAATAAGTACAGCTGAGGTATTTTTTAACATTAGGTATACTGAAAGTTTCCTTCAGAAAGGAATTACAACCTTATGTCAATTTATGAAATAATGGATAGTTGTGCTCAAGGTTTCTCGTCATGACGAACATTTTAAGTATATGGTTTATGGGGGTGTGACTTGTAGTTTTCTCAAAAGTTCATTTTAGCGAATTTCCCTATAGGGAAGTAGCTATTACCGTAGGTCTCATGGTAAGACTTAGGCCCGGGACCGATTTACTTTTTCATTTTAATGTCCCCAGAGGCCAAAAACACCATTCGTTCAAATTTTTATATATGTATATATATATATATAGGTATATATATATATATATATATATATAGATTTATATATATATATATGTGTCCGTGAACACGATAACTTGAGTAATTTTTATCCGATTTTGATGAAATTTGGTTTGAAGGTGTAAGGCGGGATAAACTTGAATGAGTTCGCGATCCAGCATGATCGGACCATGGGAACAGGGTTTTATGGGGGGTTTTATGGGGTAAAAATTGGTTTTTCTCACTTTTTACCCTCAAAACACAAAATTTCCCAATTTTTCTCTAAACCTTCTTAAAGAGCTTAAAAAAACAAACAATTCAGTATATCAAAGTGT